CACTTAAGTTTACATACTACCAGAGACTAGTGGTACTTTATGATACTGAAGGCACAAGCAAGAGAAGCTGAAAGATAAGGGAAATTACAGAAGGTTTTTTATGACAAGTTACTGTAAGGTACTGTTCATGAACTTCTAATTGTTCCCTTACCCTCTAGCATGAGTTAATGATCTATAGAATCTAATAGATAATTAGTTCTAACCTAGCTTTAACCTAGGTCTACACCTAAAGTGAAACAAGATTAATATTGACATTTTTCTATTAATTTTGTTCATGACAATTCAGGTAGCGTCGCAGATAAGTACAGTATAGTTCTGAATTAGACCTTACACCCCGTGGACGGTTCATGTTCTATAGCTACATAGACAACAACATAGAATATTTTTTACAATTGCCAATGACGAGTTGGATGTGTACATAGGTAGACCAAGCATAATTTAAGCTTCCACATGATGTAGATTGACATCCGGTTCTATTTTATCGTTACTTTCTGATTCCAGTGAAGAAATGTGGCAAGATAAGTTTCACAAGATATAAACTGTTTGAGTCTGAATCTAATAGCACATTACTAAACTTAAATATTTAGTAACATAAATCTATTTGGTTAGTCTACAAGATCAGCCTTTGTATATAGTGTTTTAAAATACATAATATTATTACACTTTTATTTCATTTGGATATTTAAATGATATGCCAAGAAGTTTCATGGTTGGTATTTGGTAAAACAAGATTGTATTCTGTAAAAATATACCACTCACTAATTGTAATATGTATGACTTTGAACGTTTCAATCTATTGCTCACATAGCAATAGATAATGGTTTTTAATAAAACCATTTAGAAAAGACAGTTCAAACTCAAAGTTCAATCGTTGAATAAATTTGTCATAACATGCTTTTATTATTTACTCAAGGGAGTGCTTGAACAATATCATGGTCAGACAGGTTGAGAACAGATCATTGAGCATATCATGTACCCCATTTTCTCTGTAGTTATACATTCCTTTATGTCTTTGTACATTGTAGTGTACACCTTCTATTATTCTCGCAGTTTAATATTAAGATTTTTGATATAATTAGATTACAGCATACAAAAATAATAATGTAAGATTTCAAAGCAATACTGAAAATTTACAACAATTCTGTTAAATCATTTTAAATAATAAATATAATAAATTGAAAGTTAGACCATAGTTAATTTTAACACCACATTATGTAGCTGTATTAGAATAAAATTTCATTAAATCTACTTATGTTACTACAAATCGTATCTAAATATTATTTATCCCAAAAATAGGTAGTGCGTCACTAGAATGTAGTTTCCAAATATAAGTTTCAAAGAAAAATATTAGTTAATCACCATTTAAATTTATAAAATAATTTTCCTTGCATCTTACATACACACACATCCTATAACCGACCTAAAAACTAATAAAGTAGAATATCAAGGTGCGTATCTTATTCAGTCCAGGCAAACCCTTGTATCCAATACATTTGACTATGTATACTTTTCCAGTTGGCTCAATCAACCGTAAGATCTGCAGAAAACTGAAACATTCTCTTCGCAGGTTCGTCACTTTTGTATAACCACAAATCCATAAAAACATTTAAGCATAAAATTGAATATTAAAGAACCGTGTACTACAATGATTATCGTGTGCTTCATGCTAAGGTTGTGGACCCGGCCGGCAATAAGTATTAAAAATAAATTTCCCTAACACTGTTTACAGCATCACTGTTCCACTTGAATAAAATATTACGATGTTTTATTCATTGGCATAATTTATTAGAATGGTATACTGCAGGATAAAAAAGCTTACTTTATATAAGTAACATGTAATTTGGTAATGCGATTTAAAGCAAAATGCCCGTTTCTCAGCCCATGCATAGCAGTTTTGCATAGTAAGTAGGGACTGCAGCGTTGGACGATAACTTTGTTTTATCTGACATTGTCCTTCGCTGTCCTACTTTCTTTGAAAGTCGATAGTTCTCTTTTTCCACTCTTTCATCATGAACTTATCTAAGTGTTTGATTTTGTTTTAATTTGTATTATAGAGAATCCTGAAAACTCTTGGGTTGTGAAATATAGATCGTCTAGTCCTAATCCAATGTTAAGAGAATTTAACAACTATTTTATTTTTAATATATTTCTGATTTAAAAAAAATCACGATACGTTAGTTGATTTTACGAATTTATAAGTGTGCTCATAACTTTAATTTTAGATGTTTTATATAAACTGTAGTTCTCAGCAGAATACGACATTTGTAAAAGGACCTCTAACAGCCCAAGGATCTTTTGTATTGAAACATGGTTCTCGCATTTGTGGTTGACTAACAGCATACAACTATGATAAGCAAACATGATTATCACGATTATACACGGATATCACAACTTATTGACAAATTTGTCTATGCTAGAACAACGATGTATGTTAAATCAAAACTAAACTAAATTTTGAGGAGTTTAATACAAACCAGACTACACTCTGGAACTTGAACTTGAGTAGAACCGTTTCCTTTGTCTTCCTTTCTTTCTCCTTTCTTTCGTTTTTTGTCCTTTCTTTCTCTCATGAAACTAGCAGTGATTTCCGTGCCCCTTGTAGGCAATTTCAAATCCTATATATTAACATATTCAAGTTAAGATGGACAAAAGTCTACCCGAAACTTATCGAATTTAATTAGCATTGTCTTCAATTTCCCTCAATATAAAGATAAGTCACTTTTTGGTGAAAAGTTATTCGTCCGCTACAACTGAAAAAAAACTTCTTGACCTTAAAAGCTGTTGTTGCTGACCATTACCCGTTAATCTTAGTAAAACAAAATTTGTGCAAGACAATAGTACTGTGCTATTTATTTTTCTTTCTGTTCATATATAGGCCTTATAATATTATATACGGAAAAATAATTGATTTGCCATGATTATTATCGGTGGATAAAAAAAATACGGTTTTCTCAATATCATTTCTGTGGAAGTTTATAACTTAGACTGCTATGAAAGTAAATCTATGACAAGCGTTACCCTTTATACGTTAACTCCCTTGTAAACGACCGTCAAATAGATATGAATTAGTTATAAATACTATAGCTCAAAACTCTTATATCCTCAAAACGATTGGGTTGCGGAGTGAGTAGGCCTATAGTGAAGAATTCGCCTAGCATTCAAATTTCGAAGGTTTTACCTTAGGAAAATTTAGTAGTATTTGGTCGAAACTTGCCCCAGCTACCGTTTATCATTGAGGGCTTAATAAATTGTGGTTTTGAAACTGCTGACCTGCTCGTTAGTAACGTAGGTGTAATTATAAAAGCTAAACAGATAATTTCGCTCCAATCTGCTCTCATTATACGTAATTGATAAGATGGTATTTATCTCTGATTAATATTATAATCAAGTAGCCTCTTCACATAATAATGAAAGGGTAAAAATCTATAAAATTGAAATATAGCAATAAGTTTTATTAAAATTTACAACATATATAACTTTAGCTTCTCTAAACAGTGTGTAAAGCCTTGTTGACATAATTACATAGTTTGTATACAATGTCGGGTACATACAGCCAGTCTATGTACATAGTCCAGGTCTATGTACATTTACATAACATTACATCTACGGACTGTTTACACTATCAAACACTACAGCATTGGTCACTTCCACAGTGCAAGGCCTATTTCAAAATTCTACGCTGTAGCCCGTGACAAAACTAACTATCGATATTATTCAAAACTACCCTGTTCGAGTTAATTCCTACGCAATGAGTAATTTATTTAAATGTAATTTAATCAAGGAGATAATGCTACAAAGGCCTTTACTACATTTTTAGCCTAAGCCAACCACTTTGAACACATTTTTGATATGCCCTATATTACACCGCATCGCTTATATTTGCTTGAGAGTGCAAGTATTTCGAAACGACTATCCAAAAAATCTTGTAGCCTAATAAAAATAGTTAGTTATGTGAAACAAATTAACCAACACGTTAAATACAGAAAAAATTTGATCTGAAAACCGTCACATAATGTTGTTTCGTATCGGTAATATAATAACGGTTTTAATTATGAAAGACCTCTAAACACGTTACCCCTTAAATATTTATCACTTAGTCCTTTAAATAGCCTTTAGAGGTTAACTGTAAGAAAGTACCATGAAGTCCTAAGTTCGCCTCAATAAAGAATCATTTTCATTTCATTTCATAAATCTGTCCAAACCCATAATTCTGCCAAAATAATCTTTTCCCGTAATAAATTACAATTTTGTTCACATGACATAATACCAAATTATATACATTATAGTTCTTTAACATATTTTCAGCCATACATTCTATGTAAAAAGTTACACTTAATATAATAAAAAAACTATTTTAACAGTGTTAGTTTCTATCAAGAAATCAGCCCAACTAATAATGGAAAAAAATAGAAAATACATATTTGTGAGATTAAAACAAAACTTAAGAGCTCAAGACTAATCTAACTAAACTTCAACAATACAAAATAGTCTAAACAGTTTGTATTTTGAACAATTTATTAATAACAATAACAAGTATTTCTTATATGTAAAATATACATATGCATGGTCTATGTAAAAGGCCCAGTAGTCCATAGCACCTAACATTCTATATTCTATACTTATTTCATTTATATACATGGTAAGGCTGGCCTTTTGCTGATTGTTTGGTACTGATGTAGCCTTTTTTGGCGTAGTATAGTTAATAACAATTAATTATAATAGGTAAAAATCTCTGTCCATAAAAAACTAAACTTTCAATTACATATTGAATATTAAAAATATTGTTTGTTTTATTGCTAAATTAAGTGTTTTGTCTTTACTACTAATATTGTACTGCTAAAGTAAATAAAAAAGTAAAGTTAATCCAGTGATTTTATCTAGTAAAAGGAGTTTTGTAATGTAAAAATAAGATAAACATTAATTGTACTCAATAAATTATATATCACCCTTTAACCTTTACTTCAACTTTAATTATTGTATTTTGGTAATTATCTGTAATAATAGGCGATTATTTTTTAAAAAAATATGTTCTAATAGGTACGAAAAACGGAAGCTGAACTTTTGAAATTCACTTAGAATTTAAAAAATAGTTTACTAATCTCTTTTAACATTTTATTCTTTTGATCCCCTGACACATTTACCCCTAGCGAGTTAATTTTCAAAAATAATTCTAAGAAAACTTCTCCAAAGTCATGTATGTCTTCTGACACTCACTCCATCGACGTTTTTGTAGACATTTCGTGCTATACACACTCAACGTTCACCTTGTGGTTGGTAGAACTGTCCGAGTCAGGCGTAGGTGGCCATGTCAGCAGTGTTGGTAGCACTGTCATGTCTACAATCGAGTGTCAGATGTTCAGATGATGTCAGCTGGGCATAAGGTCGCGATCATCAGCTGAGGAATTTTCATCTGAATTGTTGGTCAGGGTGTTCCATAGCGGAGAGCGAGGTATAGCCTTGCCCTCCAAGCCGTTATGCTAGCTGTCCGGACTTAAGACCTGTAACAATAATAATTTCAACTACGAGATGGATCATTATTATTAAAATAACCTTAACGTGTACTTACTAATGTAAATACATCTTGTTTTAGACTTTTTCCAACAAACGGTAATATCTAAGTATAACCGCAACAAAAATGTGAAGTGCTTAAAAGTCTTGCTAAATACAAATGATCCATAAAACACAGCCATTGAATGCAAAAATTGCAAACACAAGGGATGAAAGGAAAGTATTTAAATTTATTTACGTTCAAGTGAGTTTCTTAGTTATGTTTTACAAACAAATTAAAAAGCTCATCCTACTGAAATCAATTTGTAAATCCATTAAATAACTAAAATATTAAACTATATACATCTTTTCAAACTCGACTACCAATAAACCGAAGTACACTTAGATTTTGGATTAATACACGTGTAAGAGGCAATGACAAGGGTAGGGAAACACATTACTCAAGCTATCCCGGCCTGGGACATCTCGCTGGGAATAGGAACATCCATTAATGCATAAACCTTCTCACCAGAGACACCACAGACACTCTGCGTGGTTCGTATAATTAGACAGCAGTTATTATGGAGTGGGGACACTTTGAGTATACAGGGTGAATTTTAAATGAGTTCCCCCCCTACTTTTTTCTACATTTCTTAAGATATCAACTTCGGACCACGTCAGATCATTGTAGTGTAGTAATTACTTCATTTTGATAGGGTAAACATTTTTGGCCGCCATCTTGGATCCGCCATATTGGATACAAAACTTTTTTTTCAAATGTAAAGGTAGGGTTGTGACCTGTTGTTTCAAACTAGAATTTTACGCTGATTACAATGTCGCAATTAGTTTTTAAAAATCTTGATCCGTTCTAAAGTTATGAGGACGTTTTATATCTTTATTTTTAGCCCATTTTATCATTTTGCATTTACAAACTAAGACCATAATCTCAAAATAGTGCTAGATAAAGATAAGTATACACCACCATTCATTGTCGACCTATTATCACTTGATTATGACGGATGTATTTTTTTCGGCCGCCATCTTGGATCTGCCATTTCGAAATGTGACAAATTAATTTAAATATGAAGGTGGTGTTGTGACCCATCATTTTCGACTACTTTTTTATACTGAATTCAATGCCGCAATCTGTTTTGCATTTTCATATTTGTGTTTAGAAATATTGGAAATTTAAGTAAGATAATTTTAATATTTCATCAAGAAAGCCTGAGAGACAAAAACGGATTGCGGCATTGAGTTCAGCATAAAAAAGTAGTTCAAAATGATGGGTCACAACACCACCTTCATATTTAAATTAATTTATCACATTTCAAATGGCAGATCCAAGATGGCGGCCGAAAAAAATACATCCGTCATAAGCAAGTGATAATAGGTCGACAATGAATGGTGGTGTATACTTATCTTTATCTAACACTATTTTGAGATTATGGTCTTAGTTTGTAAATGCACAATGTTAAAATAGGCCAAAAATAAAGATATAAAACGTCCTCATAACCTTAGAACGGATCAAGATTTTAAAAAACTAATTGCGGCATTGTAATCAGCGTAAAATTCTAGTTTGAAACAATAGGTCAAAACCCTACCTTTACATTTGAAAAAAAATTTTGTATCCAATATGGCGGATCCAAGATGGCGGGCAAAAATGTTTACCCTATCAAAATGAAGTAATTACTACACTACAATGATCTGACGTGGTCCGAAGTTGATATCTTAAGAAATGTAGAAAAAAGTAGGGGGGGAACTCATTTAAAATTCACCCTGTATATGATAGTGGGTCGTAGTGTTATTCACGATTGCCTCAATTGGTTGGACGAAAAATTAGAAAACATAAACTGTTTTCAAACACTCTGTTTGCTTATTTTTCTTTGTCTTGTGTCTTTTGTGTGTTTGTTTTTTATGTATAGCAAATGGTTGTTTTATGTGCAAGGAGGGAAAGCAAGGTATGAACATAAAACAATAAAACAAGGATGTTCACAACACTTACTTACATATACCATCGTAACAAAACTTCTCACAGTCTGTCCACCATAAGGACCAAAAAGTTAAACTCCCTGAATTGTCGGGTAAACGTAAAAACAATTAGGTTTCTATGGTTTTATAAGGTACTTAGCCATATAAGGCTGCGCAATGATTGATAAACTTGTATCGGATTATGAGGGCTTGTGGGAAACAGACTTTGTTAAATGCGTTAGTAGTTGCTTCTCATACTAGGGTTGGTTGTAGGTGAAGGGAGTAACTAAGAATCGTCATCCAAACCAAGCATTTAGGCAAAAGTAAGGCTCTTGTATCGAACCTATGCAAGAAAGACTTCCTGTTGCTGATTCCTGTTACACCTGTACCGAAAAACCACAATCTACATTATAAAGCCGCTAATTCCAGGCTAACAGTGGGGATTAGTGGATTTTGTTCATAGGTCTTGGTTGAGTAGAGTTCAGGTTTTTAGGCTTAATCTATACTAACCTCTACAGCGGTAGACTCTGGGTCAGGATCGGACCTTTCCTCCACGACGGTGTCTAGTTCTGCCGAGGGGAACGCTCTACTGAGGGCTCGCTCGCTACGCAGACTGACTGCTCGATTTCGACTGGCTGTCGGTCCTGCCAGGTATACTCCTGTTGCATAACCATTATATTAATCATACGTTTAGATTATGGTAAAACTTACAAACAATATTTTTGTGGGTAAAGTGACTGAAATTGACTACTATACTGATATTGATAACTATATACATATTTTTTATTTGTATACAATATCGGGTTTGGTCCTTCAGGTTTCGTTTTTTCGTATTTAATAACAACCCCTCTGCAAAAATACGATGTTTAATTAATATTTAAAATATTTAGTTTTTCTACAGCATTACTTCTTTTTAATTAAGAATGGTAGGAAATCCAATTTATTATATTGATCTGATATGCAGCTGTATCAGTGGGTCAGAAAATTCCGTTACTTATCATCCAAGAATAAAAGTTTTAATTTACAAGGTTTATCATTCAACCCAAAAGTTATACAAACCTATTTTTGTAAAACAGTACCGATTTTAAGAATTTTTCCTGTAAAACCTAAAGTTTGTGTTTGATCTGCTTTACCAAGGCCTGAAAGGCATATTTACATGTTTTGGTTAATAATAATTCTAATTCATTTGTAAAGACAAGTGATCTCGTTTTCTTGACTATCTTTTTTAGTACAACAGTCATCGTGATAATACTAACAAATAACTTTACAATATCCAAAAATAAATAACCATTTGATGTACATCAACGGTACATATTCAAAACAATGTGCAAATAAACTTTACGTAATTACACCATCTATTGAAATAAATCCTTTACGTGAAATCCTCGTATCTCTGTATTGAAAAGGGAGTAAATGACTCAAGGAACATCAACAAAAGTCTTGAAACTCCCAGATTGCATATCTCCTTTCTCTCATTGTTTATTTACTCTCCGTTTCAAACGTCTCTGGAAATGTGACACAGCTTGTCTCTCTTTACGATGATCACGGATAAATCTGTAGAATGTTTTCGAATATGGTGTAGCAGATCGTTTAGTGGTATTTTCATAAAACTGAAATTTATTACAGGATATAATGTTTTTGTAAATGAACTAAGAAAATATGCTTTAAGCATGTATATGTAAAAAATGCTCTTAAACATTAAGTCTTACTAGTGTTAATTCTGTCTACTCTTTATAATGTGGTGTCATCTAAGTCAATAAATGATATTAATTCCATTAAAAATTGCAAAGTAAAAACAATCTTATCGTTGGAAATATAACTGACCAATTTATCAAGTCGTGTGGTCAATAGAGAAAAATCTCAACAATCTAAAAATAAACAATAAACCAGCCTAGCCAAACATAAAAATGTTTCTGGTACTCTGTGATGTTTGACAATCCGTCCCTCAATAAAGCTAATTACTTAAACTACCAAAATGAAAGGGAAAAAGCTAAGGATGGAGTGTATGTAACTTCTAGGAAACCGTGAATGTCAAAAAATCTGTGATCTATTTAAAATAAAAAGTGCACAAATGTTGTACTTCTTCAAATATAAAATCGTATACTACAGATGTATAGTCTCTGTACACAAATCCTTGTTGTGGTGACAAGATTTAACACAATAAAATATGTACTGTATTTTCTATCAATATGAATTAAGTATTATATATTTAACTTAGGTTTTATTGTCATTAAACTAAATATTTAATAGAATAACACTTGGAAAAGGTTAAAATTAGATACCACTTATCGCATGATTGTATATCTACAATTAAAACGAATAATCCTAGTAAAATATTGAAATAATTATATGTGTTTTGGTGGGAAATTTGTGGGACAAAATGTGTAATAATCACTAAAATATTAACTATTAACTACAGTAGTATAAATCCCCTTGGTGGACTACCCTTGGTGCATAAATGATCACGTTACTACCTATGTAAATCACTAAACCTTAGGGTAACTTTTGCACACAAAAGTACATTACTTGGCCGGCTTCGTCTTCACTGAAAACATGATTGATTTCGTCTTCTGTGTAAACATATGTTAGTGAATAAAAGACAACTTAAACTAATTCATTAATCTTCGTGTACCTAAAGGTCTGACAGACGTCTTGTTGAGAGAATACAAATTGTAATGTCTACCAATGTGTATCAAGTAGTAAAATAATATTTAACCATGTATATTAATATACACCTTATTATAAAAAATAGATAATGTGAGCATGAATTTATGCTGTTACAAATGTTAGATTACAAGATGGCAGAAAAATATTTTAAAACGTTTACAGTAAGCCATTTCATTGTTGATAAGTTGGCATTTATTTCAATTTTTATGGTAGTACAGTAGAGCGATTCTCAAATATTGCACTGATTTCAATTATTTGCATAATATGCATAATGATGATCTAATATATTATATTAGATATTCATTAAATACTATGATGCTTAAATTATTTGATTTAATCCAACAATGTGTATTTTTATGGATCACCAATGACTTGTATATTACTTGGAAATATTTTCCAAGCAACAAAGAAAATCTAACCCAAAATCAAATGTAACACGTTTTTAGTAGCTACAGATAGTTCACTAAAATGTTTAAACTATAACTTTTGAACCAAGCTTATATTTATTTTGATTACACAATTAAAACAAAATCTCTGAAAAATTATTTCAGAAAGTCTTTATTATTACTATTAGATAAGTGTTAAATAATTGTTAATTTTCCTTAACAATGATTTTGTAGCTTTCCAATGTGTTTGTGTTAAATGTTTAACTTACCTAGTCGATGCATTGGACTGAAACGGACCAAAGATATAGCTCCAGGATCGGACTCGCAGTTACTGTAAGAAAAACGTATATTTTACTATTCCAGTTAACTCTCTTATCTCGAGTCTCTACAAACCCAAACAGTATTCCCAAGAGAGACCATTGCTAACCAAACCAACATGTTTCTGCTGTAATGTGATACAAACATTTGGTACACATATTGTTTCCTAAATAATTATAAACTACTTGTCTACAGAATGTGAAATGAATAGCTTAGATAAATAACTCAATTCCTGACATTAAAGTAAATTAAACATCGACTATTTTATAAAGCTATATGAGAATTGTTGTCAATTTGTGAAAATTTATTATAAAAGTATCTCCTAAATAAATTGTAATTTGTTTATGAAAAATTAAAATTCCATCCTTTAACAGAAAAAAACTTAAAGTTTACATTTAAAACAAATAGTATTTTTATGTTTTAATTGAACTAGTAGATCACAACTCTCAATAAAGAAAATAAATAACGATACCTTTTAGATTAACAACTCTAGTCTCACTATTTAGCCTACAACTGACCGAAATTAATCTTTAATCAAATTAGTTTTAAAAAAAATGCAGTACTATAACCTGATGTCTCAAATGTTATGAGAAACTGTAAGCCATACATCCATATCTACAATAAATGGCATGTCTCATCAACAAGTAAAACTAATTCCAGCAAATTATACATAATCTTTCAAATTTATTAATAATATTGATTTAAAATAACTTGAAATCTTTAGTCAATTATACCTTTTTTATTTCGGAGCCCTATACCATAGACTGAATGCTTCATCCTTGCCCTACCGGTCCTATAAGAAATATTCCCCCACTACTCTATTACAAATATCTCTCACCATCATCTTGATGTTTCCTGATGTTCTTTTTCTCATTGCTAGGCATCCCCTGATTCTACTTCCAACTAGTTTTCCGTCTTTACGTTCTATTTGAAAATGTATACGGTAATTCTAAATTATTAAAAATACATAAATCCTACATTTTTTCATAAACTATACGGATATAACCATAATATTCAATATTATTGTAGGTATGCTAAACTCACCCGGCTCTTCTCCTGTCCCGTTCCCTAGCCAGCTTGGCTCTACGCCGCAGACAACATATGACCAGCAGCGCCAACAACGGGAACCCGAAGATACAGGACACTATGGGGATCACTATGGTCTCCGGCTGAACTGTGGGTAAAACATTAAACTGTTAAAAACTGGCACAATACACACTATCACAATTTAAAACCAATAAAACCATGCACATTTTTTGCATAAAAAAGAAAGACTAGGGTACATAAAATGTCTCCTGATTTTACGTCATTTTAGCTGTTGGTCTTGTTGGTCTCTCACAGAAGAGATTTTGCATTTTTTAGGTAGGAATTATTTTATAGTGGGTTTTCACCCATCCCTTACTTTGTACTAAAACTTCAACTTTGGATTTTGCAAAATACTCTTAAAAGTTTTTTTAAGTACTAAAAAACAAAAATTAGGCCTATACCATCAAGAAATGGTGTTTTAATTAATTTTAATACTAGCAGATCCCTTATTATCCTAGGTATATGTTCAAATAAATTTTTGTATATTTCATACACATTTATTTCATATATTTCATATTTATACAAAAACCCAACTTATTAATTTATGGGCCATTGTTAAACTAATTAAGCTAATGGAAATCCTTTAGTTTAATTAGTTTAATAGTTAAATGAAAAGTGTTATTTGCTAACTTAACATACATTAATAATTTTCATTTACATTTATAAAGGATTTCATGAGTTTTCCTTGTCTCATAAAAGAAAATTATACTCGTATCTTTATGAGGAATTGAAAAGGATGTAACTGACTCGAGAAACGGCAAAAAAATGTCTTGAAACTCCCAGATTGCATATCTCCTTTCTTTCATTGTAAATTTACTCTTCGTTTCAATCTTCTATAGAAATATGACCCAACATTCCAATCCCTCTCCTCAGGGATGACGGATAAATCTTTAAAACATATATTCTGACATAATGCAATTAATGCAGATGTGTCTGTGCCGTTTAAAGTTGCCTACAAAACAGGATTGGATTCTTCATAATTCTTTTTGCATTTAAAAGTTAAAGGGTTATTTAATCTTTTAAAATCAATTAAGTATGATAATATGTATCAAACACATGTACTTTTATGTGTTTATGTCTATTATATTGTCATGTAATCATATTTTACCCTGGACGTGGGTGATTCGTTTTTGTTTTAGGGTAAAAACAACCCACGAAACTTATGGAAAATAGAGGGTGAGTTCAACATATCATTAGATAAGCTCACTGCCCACTCTAAGAAAAATTATAAGCCCATATAGGGTAATTGAAACATGTATGCTTTTGTACTTCGTTAGTTTTTTTTTTTTTTTTTTTTTTTTTTTTTTTTTTTTCAATGGAATATTTTTCAATATTTCCTAGGCAAGAACCCCACCTGTAGGGTAGACGTAGATTGTAGGGATGGGTCTCTGCTTGTTATGAGGCAAGGCGAGTGGAGCAGAAGGCATCGTTGACACCACAAACCCCAGCTCCATGGCGAGGGCATGGTCCTCCTGCATACCTGAAACAGGAGTATATCAGTTTCAATAACTACATAATATATGTATATATATATATTTCAACAATGAATAATCAGCGAGGACTACGGTGTACAGAATTATGTTATTATGGTCATAGATAAAACTAGACATTATTTCCCTAAATAAAATTCTAGCCTAGGTTTTAAAACACTTGTACAAAGCTCGTAGTTTAATTAAACCTCTGTCATTTTTTGCTCATGTCAATCACTGATTTATGTTAAAGTATAGACACTTTGCTTAACATATTCAAATTTTAACGTTAACCTTTTGTAAGCTGTAGCATCTTTTTATCATTTTAACTATAATGGTATTAGGAACCAAGAGAAACCCCCCAAATTTATCCAAAAGCTCGTGAATGACTCGTCAAGTATATTCTATTTAAATGAAATATTGACTGCGGTTGATCAACAAATATGGATATCCAACCTGGTATTTCAAAGTCAATGATAATAGTGACGTTAAAAATTGGAGAACATTTTGCTATATTGTTTTGGTTTTGGCTACATGCAATTTCCTAGTATTATTTATTTGATTTGATTTATGTATGAAAGGTAGCTATTAAACTTATTATTTAGTTGTGATTGGCCTACTAATCCATGGCTGTATAGTTCTAGTCATCTCAACACATGTTATATGCACCTCGAAACAGATATTTGACTTTTATCGTGTTTTTCTATGATAAACTTAACACACAAACATCTATTTTCTTTCTTCCAATATTATTTGTATATAAATATCACGTACAACAAACCCCCCTATATTCATCAAGGAAACTACTATACACTCGCTGTTACCTTAAAATATCTTAAATTGCATAATACAGTACCTTAGTAAGTATTAATTTTAACGTAAATTTATGTAGCCAAGTAAACTAACTAAATGTAAAAAGTTTGATCAGACTATTCTGAGCGTAATGATTCTTAATTTCGCTTTTATTAAGCTGCTAAATACATGATGTGCATTTTAAAGAAACTTCAGGTGAACAAAAATACGATTATAATAAAATGATTATTTAATACTTCATATATCGTACGTTATTTTAGATAGAAGCAGTTTGACGAAAAAGATAGCAAATGCTCCGACAAAGCTTTACTTAGCATTACAGAACACCCTTGAGGGCAACACGTTCCGTTCAAAATCCTTAGCTCAGCGCAAATGAAGTATTCACCGTACTTTTGGGGATTCCAGAAAGTCTTCAAAGACTTTCTATACCCGAAGATGATACTTAGACAAATATTCGTATTTTTGCCTATAATGTATACCTTCGTACGTTTTTGGTCATACTTTCTTTAGTTATAAAATGTTTATACATTTTATTTGAATTTACTCGATCAGTATTACATTATATTCTTCAATATCAAAATATACATTTTTAGATTCGATTTTTGTAAAACCAGAAGCAAACATTCTTCATCTTAATATAAATCTTACAAAATATAATAAGTTTGTTTTCAACCATTATATAAAAATATAATAATAGGAATTTGTATAATATATTATATGAATGAATGAATGAAGAGAGGAAAAAAAAATTAAGTCGACTCTCAATATCACAAATTTCGTATAATTTTATAATATTTAGCCTACTTGAACTATTTTTGTATTTATAGAGAGGTTTATGAACTCACAAGTATGATATCAAGTTATCTAAACTAGTTGCTTAAAACGGATTTTTAAAGACCATAGACTTTATTAATGAGTTCAAATTGAATGATTATACGCTAGAAAGAAATTAAATTACATCCATTATGTAAAAACCTATGTTTAATTCCAAGTTATTTATCATCACAGCTGTTAGTTATTTCAGGTACACCCAGTATTGTTTTCATTCGCAAGAGTCTTAATATCACTGTCGCTCATACAACCTCGTCCTAAGTAAACTAGCTTACAGGACAGGTAGCGGCTAAATTTATTCATGAACTAACGTATACGAGGGGTTGGTCAACAGTCATGATTCAAAACAGTTGAATGCGAAAATGGAGATTCACAGTTTAACACTTACATTGCAAATGCGATCTCATAATTTCAAATTAATGTTTTTTATGTGGAGCTAATAGAAATTTGTTATGTTTTAAACCATGTAAACATTATTTTCGTTTACAATGAGTCAGGTTTTCAGAAATTGTTGTTGTTGGGAATCGGTTAATCATTAAATTACTTATAATTGTTTTCGTATAAGTTTTTATACTAATACGTAAATTTTTAGAGTCATAAATAAGCCCATAGGTTCGGAACGTGGCTTTACAGCAACTTTATTCGCCAGATATTATTATGTTTTATGTTTTTATTTAATTTTTAATTATCATTATTTTTGATACCATATCAAAATCCTATTGTACACGCCTTTAGTTTTACATTCCTGAACTAAACTAATGGTACAGTTAAAACAATAATTTATTGGTTATTTAACATTTATACATAGTCAAATTGAAATAAAGATAAACAAAAATTTAGTTTAATAAATTACACAATTTTAATTTTCAACATTGATCCTTGTAAGCATGTTTGTATTTGCCATCAAAATAAACAAATTAATGGTTAAAAATTTTAGGTTTATTATTCATTTATTTCCTAGACATAAGTTTAATAAATACATGTTTGAGGTCATAGCTGCATTCGCTTTTTTTTACTTTGTGTTTAATTATCAGTATACAGATAAAAAATGCCAATAAAAATGGTTACTAAAACTATTGTTATTCAATGAATTGGTTGTATTAATTACGCTATGTTTACCTCACACATTTAATATGACCATAACAGTAATTATCAAATATCAACGCCGTTAATTAGTGGTTTTAGTGATAGAATGCATAGCTTTGGTAGTCAATTAAAAGTGTATCATCCAGATTGGCCCGAATGTTACATTAATAATCTTCTACTATGAACAGTAATAACACATCCCTGAAATACGGTTCAAAAATATTATCAACAATGTTTTTGCTTGAACATTGCAAATAAAATATATTTACGTTAAAATTTAATCGGTACAATAAAGTTTTAAGATACAAATTACATTAGTAATCATGCTATTTTGAGCTGTTTGTTTGTTTCGTCCAAAGTTTATTTAGAGTTTTTGACAAACTGATCTCTCGTAGCCTCTGAGAAATCCATTCCAGTTACAATGCAATAAATTATGCTAATTTTATCTCCAAGTTTTTCCAAAGCAAGTTATATTGAGATAGTAAACAATAGTGGTGTGTAAACTAAACAAACAAGAAACACAACTCTGAGAACCATGTGTGTGACTTTCACGTGGTTATAATAATGTTTACGAGAATTCAAAGTAGTTTCAAATAACTTAGCTTCAAAAGTTAACGATTCCAAACATCTAAAGTTTTTAATGAATGTGGGAAAGTACTATTCTAAAACTCTTTAAGACAGCGCCGATTATTTCTTTAATGTACTCCTGACCTCATTCATTGTACATTTAAAGCAGGTGGGTAAGATTTTAAGACATGTTTTCATCCGCTATATAAAGAGTGCCTCAATATTTTACTATTTTTTTTATGCTATTTCATAAACGGTTTGTGTGATACGGCCAAATTGACCAAATTACTTGTAAATTTATACTGTTTTCTTTTTCTTTTTTTTACAATAAGTGAAAATATTTTGCATCTTTCAAATAAAGGAAAAAATGCAATCACACATCAGTGCACTTGATCACAACCGGACATGAACAAAACATGTTCAAACACTCTTAAGAGTTTATAATAGAAAAGTAACTTGTATTATTTAAATCATTAAAATATATAAAACATACAACAATGCACAATGATTATCTGTTTATAGACAACTTGCAATTCCCCAGAATTGGATTGATTTAAATAAATCACAGAGAACACATAATTGAATAAATATAATAAAAAAAAGAGCAAATAGGTTGTAATGTAATGAATAGTAGTAGTGCGTTTATTTTATTTAAAGAGTTTTTTTTTTTTTTTTTTTTTTTTGAGGTTATTAGAGTAAAAAATTAATAAAAGAGGGTTTTTTTATCTTGTTATTGAGTTAAAGGTTTGGTTAGATAAAGGCAAAATATGATGTTTTTTTTATTTTTTTTACCTGAGTAAACATTTACAATATTTACATTGACGGTATTTTTTACTAAACCTAAGTATCCAAAATCATCCAAAAATATGTCGACATGTTCATAAAACTACAAAACATACCTATAATTAAGAAAGATAAATTGATTTTACTAAGTACCTAAATGAAAATACAAGTATAGTTTGTTACAGATTGTATATACCTTCCATACAGCTCAGCTCCAGTGTTGGTTAATCATGTTACCGTTGTGAAAAGTTTGTTGTACGAAAGGGCAAACTGAAAGGGCATCTGTGTCAACAGGAAGTCGTTACCAATAATGGCGTAGCAAAACCCACGGTTCACAGTGTAATCGATTTTGGACAAAACCAGACTGAACTAAAACCGCATAACAGCCACATCCGATTTTGATGGCGTAGCTTCATACCTTACTAATCGAACATTAGTTTTGATGGTTTTGACTCGTCGAAAACAGAGAATGTTAAGAGCTGTTGACCAAATGGCGAAAACTTGTTTGTATGTAAGGCTGTAATTTGAGACATGTGCTACTTTGTGGATGAACAATTAAGTTTAGTAACTAGTAAGTTTAGTTTAGTAATCGGTTTTTCCAACGGTTTGCTTTCTAATATTTATAAGTTTTTAAATCGTTGTCTTTTTTGTCCCTATAAAGTATATTTTTGTACACCAATATAAAAATTGCCTTGTATCGATACAGCAAAAAATGATCCCTCGATGGTAAATTTAAATTAATCATTGATGGTTAACCATTTACCTATGTTTTATAGAAACGTAATTCCACATATAAATAATATTTTGAAACACCTGAGGTTTTAATCAAACTTTATTTCCATTTGGTTAATTACAAAATAATTATTTTTAGAAGATACTTAGTTATATGATAAATACTACATTTATTGCTGATGCGCTACATATAAAAATA